GGGAGGAGGAGGACGACGACGACAACCACTGCTGCTGGCAGCGCTGCTAGAAACACCATCCTTCCTGACCGTGACTACTGCTACTGCAACACTGCATACGACTATTAGTGCAATCACAGGGTATCATCGGTTAAGCACCATCACGGACGACCTGGCGACAAAAAATCTCAACCTGCATCAAAGGAAGCGATGCGACAAACGAGGCTAACAACCCCTACACTGCCCTACACACTCAATCCTGAAATTTGTCATGAAGGCGAAACTGAAAGCCTCTTTAAACCTGAATAGAAGATCCGGGAGGTTTCTCTTTGGTCGGCGCCCTTTGGAATAGTCCGAGGCCAGCGCAGCATTTTGGATGTCGTTCTTGGGGTTTTGATCCTGGTTCGAGGTGTCGGATGTTGTGCGTAAGGCTTGCAGGGTCTGTTGGCTGGCCTGCTACCTGGGCCACTGGGCCACCTAAGCAAGCTAGAAAACGCCACTAACTCAGCTCGGATGCATGCTGATGGCAAGAATTCGTAGAAAGACTGGCAATAAGAACGATGGCCAACAATCAAGAATTAACCAACTGATTGCCATAAGAGTCACGACAAACAACTCAAGAGTCTGCAGGTTCTGTGCTCGGTGGAGGAGTAAACCACCTATAGGGCTTTGCACTGAGACCATTGGGCACATTTCTTGCCTCCTCGGAGTCGTGGGGTGCGACGAGGCTGCCTTCCAAGTCCTGGCTGCCAAGAGCCAGGAACCTATAATCTGGCGTCATGATAAACGGCTACATATTAGCATATTATCTATTATCACTAAATGCCTAACTGTTACAGAGTGCGGGCAGTACCCAACCTATACTAGCCGAACCAGGGAGCAGGGTGCGGAAAGATTTGCAACGACTGCGCATGGGCTCTAAAGAAAGTAAAGGACATGCAAAGCTACGAATCGCAACGAAAACCCAGAAGATCTCTCTTTGGCACACCTACATACTGCAAACCGAACCAGAAACGAAGTGAAATCCGAGATGCAAAAGCCACGCTTGTCATTGCGGTAGGAATTACAATGATGATGACCATTATTATTATGATACTAGAAGCAGTAATGCTAATCATCATAAATATAATAACCGTATGCAAAAAGCACACTTCCTGCAACGGATATCCCAAAGCCCCGATGGCCCAGCCCTTTACTCTCTCAGGAGCATTGTTGACGGTCCTGAGACTTCCACTGCTGCCAGAGCTTTCGCATGTCATCCTCGTCCTTCTCTTCGAGGTCGCCGAGATACATCAGGCGAGCCTGGGATGAACCTATCCTCAGGTTTAGAGTTTTGGGCTTGTGGGCGAACGCTTCTAGGCGCAGCTTGACAGCCCAGCAAGGGAAGGCGATAATGGTGACTGCAGCTGCTTCAAGGCTGTGCTTGGACAAGCTGAAGGGCCCGGGCCTATAGAAGCCTCGAGCATCGACGATCTGAGAGTCCGGCAGTCTGGGCTTGCTTCTTCTTCCTCTGATGCTTCACCGGCTGATCGTCGTCCGCAGTTGCCTTGACATGCACCAACCCTGAGCTGGTAGCCAAAAGATGGTTTTCAGCATGCGGCTGTGAAGCTGAAAGCTCAGGAATATGGCCAGAGTAAGTTTATCCCGTGACACATTCTCTGCTCTATGCTATCACCCCCGGGAACCTGATTCTCTGCGATGGAAACCACCTTCTTCTTTCCCCTGGCAGCAAGGGGCAGTCAAACTTTTCTTTAAAATACAGCTGGGCAGGGTCTCAGCATTTCCCACCTGCCCTTGCAAAATGCGAGCGAAATCTGCCGGCAGCGCTTCTCGGCGGGTTTGGGATCCGCTTGAGGAGTGGGGGTCAGCTGGACCACTTTGTTGTCGTTCCCGGCCTGATTCAATACACACGTCGGCGACAGCCAGAAGCACTTCAAGCATCCCCTAAACTAACCTTAAGTTTAAAGTATCACTGCATGTCGAGTTTCGGAGCTCTGCTTTGATGGCAGGACACACACGGGGGGGGGGGGGGGGGGAACTGGACTGCAGTCTGAGGAGAGGGCCGCAGGTGTGGCGGCCTTTGTCTTGGTTTCCGACACCTGGCTTGGCAGGCCCATCAGTAGACACTCCAGGAGCCGCCTTTCTTTGTCACCACCGGTGGAAAAGGCTTGGGACATGCTCATGGTTTCCCCCCCTCTCTGAGGCAACGGCAGCTTTGGACGGGGCAGTGGTCAGCCGGTTGTCGCGTCGAACAAACTCTGGCCTTGACATAAAATCCTGGCCACCGTGGCAGGTTGACGGTCAGAACTACTCTGTCCTTCCTAACCGAAGCCGAAACCGTGAACTTCTAAGCATTGAGAACAGTCGGGAATGCAAACACGACTTAGACTTGGGGTGTAGGAAAAGAAGATCTGATGCGAGCTCCGCGACAACATCTGAAGCATTCGGGTCCTCCTGTGGCGTTTCGCCAAGCCGATTCCCCAGGCCTTCCGAATCGCACAAGTGTGAAGCTTGCTAGACGTCCGTTCACAGCTCCTCTTTTGGTGGGCTCACCCGGATTCAGGACTTCCCTCTTCTTCGAGCCAAGCAGCGAATCCCCTTCTCGAAATCCTTGTTGATCTTCTCGAGCATCTCCGTACGACGAGTTTCCGCCTGACATTCTTGTCGAAGCTGCCGTAGGCTTGCTTCCGCAGCAGGTCTCTGCGTTCTTTTATTGGCCACGTGATTGACTCCCGACCTGCATAGTAGCATGTGCACTAGAATATTGTTGGTCCATGGTGCATGTAAGGAAGAAGGAACATACCTACACCGTTCGTACGTCTTGTCAGAAAGATCCTGCTGTCGCATCTCTCTTGCCCAACGAAGATATCACCAAGCATGCACACGGAGCCGAAGCAAACAGCGAGAAGATATAGACCTGACTGGCACTCAAAGCATGACCCGACAGCCAAAGATTTGGCAGTTGCAGCTTACAGACTCGGCCAGGTAGTCTCTCAAGGGACGGCAGCGGCTTAGGACACTCACTGAGTCGTCGTTCGAGAGCCGAAAAAGCGGTGAGGGGGGAACCACATTGCAGGAGATCGTTCTCTTCCGTCCAGCTTGGGCTGCCAGTCGAGGCCATCGAGCGTAGCAAAAGCGTATCCGTAGCAAAACGATCACGCACACCTGGACGCATATGACAAGCCCCCGCGCTGCCAGAAAACACTTCGAAGCATCAACACTAACAGGAGCCATCGCAGCCTCTTGATCCACCTGCTTCCGGGACGATGTGACTTTGCGATGTGCGCTACCTGAGTCACGAGGCGTGAGGTGACCACGGCAACCAGAACATTACACCCTAAACTATGATTCTTTAGGTTTCAACTTCGACTGCGCTTTTCAATGTTCTTTTACATCCGCGTGCTCGATGTCTGCAACCTCGTGTCTGGGGTGCCCGTGTTGCGGAGCCTCTAGGTGCAGCTTCTGTGCACAAAAATCTCCACGAGTGTAGAGTTCAGGAGAATGACCAAAAGCCAGGACTCTCCGAAGCTCACACCGCGATGAGGCGATTTCAGGTTTGGCGGTCAAGTATCCGCCCCACCCACACGCAAGGCTCCGATACTGGCCCCGTGAAGTCTGCTCCCGGAAAGAAGTCAGAGTTTATTTTAACATGTATCACGATATGAACTGGAGCACCAATAACGAGTCTATGACTATTTACAGGAAGGAACATACCACCCGAAGAAAGCCTGAGCCTCCAGCTTAGGGTCCCAACTTTAACAAAGTCCCGGTGCAGCACTACTTCCCCATGCAGTCTGGGCGCGAACAAACTCGTTCAAGTCTTCGACATCCTCAGGTGACAAGTTCTGCAACAGGGTGCGCCCGTGCAAAATTCGTAAATCCTCAACTAAGAAAGCTTTGAAGCTGCTACCGAAGCAGGTGGGCACGTTGAACACCCAAGATAGCTGAAAGCCTAAAGCCTGCTTCAGCATCTGAAGACACGGGAGTGGATGGACAGATATCCTAATTGAGAAACTGCTCCCATACGACCCTCAACACATCCTAAAGACGCTGCTGGAAAGCACATGCAACTCGACATGCTCGACGAAAAGCGTATGCAAATCGTCTGAGCAGGACTTTTGGGTATTTTTCCCACCCACTTCTGGGTATAGGCTTTAAGGTTTACGGTGTTGGGTTGAGGGTTCTGGGTTTCGGCACTCACACTCGGACAATCAGGCGAGGCTTGTGGTTCGAGCTCTGCAAACAAGTGAAACAATGTTTGCATGCGAAGAACCGAAAGACACAGAGCCATGACGATGAGAACCTGTAAATTGAGGCGATGAGAACCTGTAACTTGAGGGGTTCCGCATGTCTTCATCAAAATCCGCTCCGGTATGTTTTGGGTTTAGGGATCAGACTCCAAACCCTAAAAGAACAGTGGCCTCGTTTTTGGTCGACGCCTCTCGCTCGAGCTCCTGGGCGAGTCTAGTGTATAGGAGGCCCTTTATCACACTAATTGCAGTAAACACACTGCGTGCCAAAATAGCATATACCGGTGCACCAGCGTGTCTTGTCACAACGGCGAGCTTCGAGTTTCCTCATGCATGTGCCATCGTGTATGTGCGAATGTATATGCAAAGATCCATAGACTCAAGGAGGCATGGACCGATAGATAGACAACAGATCACCAACCTCTTTGCAGCGATACCTGTTTTGCATCAGGACTTGTGCAATCGCCTGAAGGTCTGAGCATATTATGGAGGTTCAGTTCTCACTTCCATACCTTGCTCAAACAACTCTTGGGGGACCATCTCGAAAACACGCACACACACACACACACGCGCGATCCTTAGCCGGTCGTGAGTAATGTAACCATCAGCAGATTGACTGGACACCAGCAGTTGGTAACAAAGATGACATAAGATAAGACCTTTTTTGCAACAGGCTTTCCACTTCGCCCGGAGTTGGAGCAAGCAGCCCTAGCATAACATAAGATAAGACCTAAACCCCCAACCCCCCACATTGAAAAGAAGGTGATTAAACACTCCATGCCAAGGATCTGGATCAGGAGCCGCCGCGCCCACGATCCAAGGGTGCTTGAGGCCGTCCTTTCACCAAGCTTGAAGCTTGAGGTTTGTCAGGGATTTGAGGTACTTCACCCAGGTTTACTGGCCGTAAAAATACCTCGCAAACCCCAAAACCCCAAACTTGGAGTAAGGGTTACTCAAGGTTCGGAGCTTAGGATCTTAGACTTTCGTGGGCAAAACTCCACGCCTTCACACCCGTTTGCGCACAAGGCAGGCATTGCTCCCCACAAGTTTCAGATTTTTTTCCCTCTCGCAATCTGAAACTTAGGGCTCAGGGTTTAGGAAGTTGGGGTTTACGGCTACGAAGTTTAAGGTTAGACTCTCGCAACAAGGGCATTGCAGGCGAGGATGGTCCATAGTTCGCAGGGGAGGCACATGTGGCCCTGTCAGCTCTACTCTAGTGCCGTGGATGCATGTTCAGTCCACGGCACTTGCGCCATCAGGATTTGATGAGTCCACCGAGTTTGGTGCAAGGAGGCAGATTTCTTTTTTTGCCCATGGCGCTACTGTGCCAGCGCAGCACAGTACAAGCATGTGCAAAACAAGGTCTTTAAAAGAACGGTGCATCCTCTGGGCTCCAATGGGTCCGGTCCAGAATCGCGTAGCTGAGATTCTATATAGTGTTTCAGAACGGAGATTCAAGCTTTTGGGTAGCTTCCGGTCCGAAGAGCTCACAGGACTCAGCTACAATATTACTGCGGAGTGCCAGCAGCATCCTGGTGCGCACTGTCTTTTGACCAAGAGAAAGCTGGGCCAGCGACAAGCCCATGCTCCCTGTCACATGGATCATCAACGGTGACTGGCGCCTATGTGGCCACTTTGCCCTCCTGTCTGCAGCAATAACTTTTGAAACGGCGATAGTCAACAGCAAGGTGCCAAAGAGCACTTTCCGCATTGGCACTGACACACCCAAGGGCAAGTGCCTGACTTGTGCGTGTGTCAATTCAAGCTTCTTTCGAACCTGTGCTGCAATTGCCTTCGAACCAGCATGGTCCACAGTGATCAGGCTTGCTCCGCAGTAGATGCAATCTCTCCGAATGTCTCCGGCTCACAAAGCAGCCTTCGGCTTGAAGGATTTTGACTCCGCGGTGCAGGGGTTAACGTAGGCGAGTGCAGCTTCGAAGCTGCTGACCTAAACTTGAATCTGGGTGTCGGCTTGCTGTACCAAATTTGCCAAAGATTGGAGCCTTGGACTTGAGACTTTCATCGCTCGGTCATTGCCACCATCCACTGTAGGCGTTGCCGTCGGAAAAAGTCAGACCTGTAGGCCTGTACAGAGAGGCAGAGGCTCCGACCTGGACCA